TTTCCCTGAATGACCCCATCTTGAAGTTACAGCTTTCAAACCCGCATCCCTTTCAGCACAATGACGTAAGCCTGATGTGGGGGAGGATCATCTCTAGGAGCAAGAAAGCAGTTCAGTCTCCATGCCTGTTCAAGTCCTAAGATTGCTAATAAAGGGGAAATTATGGGGATTTTTTTTTGTGGTAAGTTTTAGGAGCTACATTCTCAGAGCTGCAAACTGGGAGCCATGTGCAGTGCAAGGCAACAGTTTTATTGAATCTACTAACTCAATGCTGCATATTCTTATGTGCCAGTAGACTGAATTCTTTCTAACAACTGTCTAGATATCTCTTTAACAGAGCACACTTTAACAATATCTACAAATGGAACCATCAGGCTAAGACCACGAAATTCAACTGCACCGAGACCTCAAAACAGCCATCAGCTGTTGAACAGAAAGATCAACTTTCAGTCAACCTGAACTGGATTTGAACGGACAGCCTTTAGATGGAAGATTCCATGCTCCTGAACTAGTGATGGCCTTGCTTTTAGCATCAACAACTATGTACCATGAATGTACATGCAAACATCCAGCTTTAGGAAAGGTAAACTGCACTAGTAACAGATTTTCTACTATAGCCTGTCGTGTTCCGAGTCTAGGAATTTTATGTCATATTGTGCTCCAATTTGGACCTTGGGAGCTTAAAAGAGGAAGGGTGAGGAAAAAAATGTTTTCTTCAAAAAATGGTTCCTGACATCAAATGCTGAACATAACAGAAGAGTTTTCACTGGAACCCCCTTCAACAATATATATTATCTAATAAAACCATCACTGAAAAGGAGACCAACTAAATAAGAGATTGTTACAGGTATGTAGAGATTATAGCCCTAATTCAGCCTTTAACTTCTGTGGGACTGCTCATGGTAGAAGATCAGCATATATTTAAGTACTTTGCTGAATCAGGGCCTATGTAACTGAATTCAATTGTGTGGGAGTAGGTAGAATCTCTGCCATGTCTTTTTCATTGCTGCTCTTATTATCTTGTTGTACATAATATTTGTCCAACCAATCTATCTATCTGAAATAAAGCTAAAGCGTTAGCTTCCAGAATCCCTCCCTGCTCATTGCAAGGTTTCAGCTTCTGCCTAACAATCAAAGAGAAGGGGGTGGGGGAAATCATCTGGGATTGCAGAGGAGAAAGCAACCCACTCTCTAACCCCCACTCTAAACACCAGCAAAAAAGTGTGAAGGGGGAAGAAAAGCTTAGGGAAAGAATGATGGGGAGACATTTAAAACAGAAATAAGGGCAACGCCTGGAGAAAGGAGATAAAAAATTAAGAATAACAAGGCAACGTGGAAAAGGAAGTAATCAAATAAATAAAAACAATAAAATCCTGAGGAAGATGAGACGTTAGGGAAGAAAACCAAGGAAAATAAGAGTGGAAAAGAGATAAAATAGCAACTGTGTGAAGAAGGGATTGAGTCATTTATGGAAAAAGAGAACAAATATTGAATTTGGAGGGGGAAATCAGAATAAAGGAATAAAAACTAATTCTAAAGAAATTAGTGCATATAAAAGAGGAAAATAATGAAAAGGAAAAATTGAGACTGAGGGAGAAAGAAAAATAAGTCAGAAGAGGCTATAACAGAAGGGAAAAAACTGAAAGGAAAAGGCTGGGAATGTGAATAATGTCCAGATTGCAGGAATTGCTGCTAAATGGAAGGTAAGGGCCAGTCTACACTGTAGCAGCTTTCAGAGTAGCAGCCGTGTTAGTCTGTATTCGCAAAAAGAACAGGAGTACTTCTGGCACCTTAGAGACTAAGTTAAATAAAGTTCTCCTGTCTACAAAACCAACTCCTGGTTAAGCTACATGAGAGAATCCAGAGTTTTAACTGGAGCACCCAATACAATAGTTGTTACAGCACAGGCTGCACCTTTACCTTCCACTTAACGGACACCTTTTATAGTCTGGACACTACTCAGAGGTGATAAATACATCCAAGTATTGAGGGCCAGCACAAGGCCCTGTGACTCTGTTAAGCAGGCTGTGTGCACTGAGGTGAATTTTATTCAGAGGCAGTCTCCTAAGATTCCAGACATTTATTTTGTTCTAAATAGGATATTTGAAATTTCTGAACCGCAATCTGCCCTTCACTCAATATCCGCACCACAAAGCCCCATCCGTGCCAAGCGTCTACCTGCTCCTGTCCCTCTGCCGCTCCCTTCTCTTCGAACCAGTCTATTCAAAATCCTGTTGCCAAAGTTATCTCCTACTCCTGTTATGTCCTTGAATCCGTTCACTGACTTGCTATCTCTTGCTACATAGTCATCCTCGCGTTCGAAGTGCCTCCTTTTCCATGTGTCTTTATGGTGCCTAGCACAGTAGCTTGGGACCTTCGGGAACTACCGCAAAACAAACAACATACTACTTAATCTCATACCTACCTACATCCCTGAACTACTTTTTCCCCCTAATACTCCCGTCTTGCTCTCTGCAGTACTCCAAATTCTTTCTTCTTACTGTTTTTTTCAGCCACTCCTTAGCTTTGTTCCTTCTGGCTGGTGGTGAGAGGTAGCAGTAGTCCCAGTGCCATTTTTAGAGTGCGCAGCCAAAAATGGTGCCATAGTCCTTAGTGAGGATTCTAGCCCTGTCCCTTTAGGGCCTATCCTTCCCACACGGAAGCTTCCATTGACTTCAGTGAGGCAGGATCAGGCCCCCAATGCAGACATTTTGCAAGCCAGCTTGTACATGGAAGATAAAGTAAATGCAAAGATTGATCATTTAGGTTCCTCTCTGACGTAACAGGCAGAGACTAAGGGCGGACTGACTGCAGATGGGCAGAGGATCAGCACTATGGAGGACAGAACTAATGAACTAAACTCATCCACTGCTAAACTTATGAAAGATTCAGAAAACTGTGTTTTAAAGAGACAAAACAGATGAATTTGAAAATAGATCACAATGCAGTACCCTGAAAAGATTCCCAGGGCAGAGGCACAGAAAGAATGGAGCCCAAAGATCTCTGAGTATTTTGTTTGCGATGTAACTGGAGAAAATGGAGCACCAATTCAGTTCCCAGTACCACTGAACAGCTTATCTGAGTTCCTCCTCTTGATGTTTGTGCTCACAGGGCCATCCTCTGTTTTAGTTAATGTGACAGAGGCTAGCCATGGCCAGAACAATCTTTCTTACCACTCTGCAGAAGCCTCCTTTTTTAGCACAGAAATGGAAGGAAAGCTTCCTGAGTTTTAATGAGTAAGAAATGTCTCTGCAAATTACAGGAAAATAATTACACACATCCTCTCACATGGCTCTGCATGTCCCAGTTCCTATTTATAACTAAGCCACTACAGATCTGGATGACAGAAAATGGTTGCCAAGAAAATCAGGACATAGTTTAGCCATATGAGTTCTGATTTTTTGTGTGCAATCAATCTGCCCTATGATATTTCTAGTTTGTTCATCGACATATTAGCTAAGCACCATTATCTTTTTCCAGTCAGATTAATTCAGGCAGCTTGGAAGCTGACATACTGTCCCAAGTTAAGTATGTTTTATCTCTATTACCCAAAACGCCATAGTTTATAGCACCATGATTTTTGCTTTTTCTGCCTTTAACCGCAGTCAACGGGCAAAAGTGGCTGCATTTCAGAGTTGGTGTATGAAAGGAGTTCATATAGCAGAATGAAGGATGTTGCATATAAATATCATATATGATATCAATAGAGATCTGTGAAATGGGTATGAGGAGAGAAAACATATGATTGGCTGGTAAATGGTATGATGAGGGTAATTATCTGGTAACACCTCACAGATTGGGAATCTTTAGCCAGTTTTTGCCTTCCCTTAAATCATTTGTCCATATGAGATATGTCCATAAACCGCTCACTCCAAGCATGGAACATGAAGAAGGGAACAACCATCTCCAGGTCCCATGCCCTCCCCAACTCTCTGCTGCACCACAAACTCCAGAAGGCTTGAAGGGACTTTCCCTCCTTTCTCCACTAGAAAGACTTGAAAACTTTTCAATATCCACACTCAGTGAAGTATCCAAAGCTTTGCCCTGCCTTATTACAAAGCTACTAAGAATGAAATGAAACTTCCAGCTCATTTCTGACATTCCTGAGCAGTTTGGGTGCTGTGTATGTTCAGCTCCCTTGGACCCGGCCTCCTTGCATAAAGGTGTTTAACCATTAATTAAATTTTCTTAATTATATGAAATTCAGAGATGCTTCCAAGTTTTCCAGAGTTTGCACATCCAGAGCAAAAAAGGGTTGCTGCTGGAAGACACACTAACAAAAAGTCAAATTTAGTTTGACAAGCATTTTAAAGGCTTATTGGTTTGCAATAGCAGTTACATACTGCATACACCGTGCGACTTGAATTAGCCGTCATGGTCATTAGGCCCCTATTAAGATAACATCTGACCCTTCTCCCTAAACCTTTGTCCTTTGGAAGCATTTATCACTGGCTGCGTTATGGTGGCACCCGCTAGTACCAAGATCATTAAGATTTGCTCGGTGTTCCCCTATAAAAACCCTGCTTTCTGTGAGTCACAGAAGGCCTCAACTAGCAAAGAGAATGTGATTTCATTAAAATCTGCTTTGGGTTGGGGACTAGACAAAGATGATATGTTTGCATATTCAGACACTAAGTGAGACTCACAGCAAAACCCATTAACATCATAATTAAAAAACATATTTGGTAAACTACAAGGACAATTAAAGATCAATACTATCCCCACTTCCTAACTCCTTATAGGCAATATGTCATCTACCAGGGAGTGCAGAATAGAGTACTTGCTCTACTTTGTTACCCCAATCACACATGCTCTGAGCCCAACATAAATTCCCACTGTGCACAATATCTTACACCTCCTTATACTGTTTTCCTTTTTCATTCTGGTGAAGCTCCCTCACTCTCTCCCCATTCCTCAGTGCTCACCAATCCTGAGCAAGATGCTGAAATGGATGCAAAGTGGTTTGTCCCAAAGTTAGGTTTGTTCCACACTGGGCTTACCACATCTATTATCCACACGCATTTGTCCCATGCCACAGAACTCCTGTGGATTCGAGGGTCTGGGAGACTTTTCGGCCACTTCATGGTCCATGCCAGAGAGACGAACATGGAATTGCTCCCTGTTGATTGCCTTCCGCAAGGTTCTAATTGTTTTGCGGAGTCTCTTCTCAGTCCTTTTTCGAGCACAGCTCAAATCACATGTGTCTACAAGGTAACAAGGATGAAAATTAGGAGCAGAGAACTTCAGTATAAATGACAGTTGCAAGAATCTTTGGCTTAAAACACTGGTCAATGCAAACAACTGAGAATGAAAACTGTGAAGCAGGGGTCAAATCTTTAAGGAGAACACCAGCAGGCCAGAAGAAAATGAACAAACGGACAATTTTTAATGATCTTAGAAACTAGGCATATATATCATACTTTCCAAACCAATAAAATGAAGCTTCAAAACAGGAGATACTTTTTGTATTATTATTTTTTGCATAAAGATGAAAGTGAAAGAAAGAAATTAAGGATCAAACTGCAAGAAGCCCTCCGTTGCATCTTGGATTGTTCTCCAACCAACCTGTCACCTCCTGTTGGTTTGTCTCAAGCTCAAAGTCCACTGTGATAAACATTTCTTTAGCTGTCGTGGGTCTGCTGACGGCGCCGAGAACTTTCATTCCAGAGCTGCATTTTAGGTTTACATAGTAGAAGCTCTCCATTACTGAGTTACGATAATCTGTATTAACAAAATTAAAGGAAGCGAAAGCTTGGCCAATTATGTTACTGGACATTCACTACAGCTCAGTAAATATTTTGTTATGAAGACGGCTAGGGGACTAAATGATTAACTCCACATGCTAATAAACTACAAGCAACTGGGCTGGATCCTTGGCTAGTGTACTTTGCTGTAGCTTCAGTGACTTTAATGGACCAATAACAATTTACACCAGCTGAGGATCTGGCCTCACTGTGCATAAGGTACTATCCACACTGAGATTAGAACCTTGCTAACGCTACCAGATGGCTTAAATGTAGCTGCCGTTAGCAGGGTCCTCGTGCATCTTTTTTGGCCTGTGTAAACATATCAGAACCATGGTATTCCCTGCACAGAATGTGTTAGTCATTAGTACATTTTTCAATGGAAAAACTCTTGCCTGCTCTGGTCTGAGAGTGTGTGAAAACTATACTAGCTTACCACAGTTTTTCCACACAACTGGGCCTAGTCCCAGTATGCACAGGCCTTACAAAGACTATTGTTTAAAGTTTCCCTAAGGAAACAAGTTCAATTTAAGGAAACATTCGGAGCACATTTTGGCTCTGGGATAAATATATGTTCTTGCTAAGTGTGTAGTACAGATGATCACTCCTATTCTTTCAAAGCCAAACAAATTGGCATGCTGATTTGATTCTTCATATTCAATAAAGTAAAAGTACCTCATTCTGCATCTTGTTTGCATTATAAAGAATATTCAGAGTCATCTCAAACAGTGCCCTGTGGGCAGATTGCATCGTCCCTCTTGTTTCCAGCTGCCTTTACAGGTTTCCAGCTCATCCTTCCACCAGAAAGAAGCTGGAAACAAGTGGGAGGAGCCAGTCTCGCTGTGTACAGACCATTAGGACCTACTGGTACATAAGTGGAAGAGAAGAAAACCAGGAGCCGACCTTGGGGACCACAGTCACCAGAAGGAGAAAAGCCAGGAGCTTCTTCAATGTGGCATCAGGGACACAGTATGATCATACACGTCAGGGCCCATGGAGACAGAAGAAGCAGGAGATGTGACTGGGAAGAGGCATGGGCCATAGGATCAACAAGGCAAGGAGAGGTAGTCTGCAAAGTTCTTGGACTATTAAAATGTAGTCCATGCCATGAAAATGTTTAAGAATCCCTGAATTAGAGCATTAGCCTGCTTACCTTCAGGTATACATCCTTACCTGGTATTTTCTGTTGTAGACCTTCTTGAAACATCTCAGTCTTTTTCAAACGACATTTTCCTTCATTAAACTTAAAGGTTACACTTGTCTTGATGGTTGAGGTATCTTCTGAGAGAAACAAGAAAGTGTGACTTTCAAAGAGAAAAAGACTGAAAATACTAAGGCAATGTCAAGCAGGTCACTAAAATGACATTATAACCTGTAAAACTATCCATCACTAAAATGCTGCTTTTTGTGTGTGCAGAGCTGGCATCACTGGATACCAGTTTTCTTTGGCTGGTAAGTTAGTTCATAACTAGAACTGGAGTTAACAAGCTGTGATATATTTTATTTAACAAACCAGGAACAATAACAATCATAGGGCAAGGTCCACAGCTTCACTGAACTCAAAGGAGATACGTCAATTAACACTAGCTGAAGATCTGTCTCCCTACGCTTATCTATAGTAGTATGTTTTATAAATTTTACTATCCAACTAAACAAGCTATATATGTTATATATAGCCAAAATATTTCCACCGGGGTGCCTCAAGAGAGGTCTAAATCCTCTCAGTCCTAAATCCTCAGTCCTGCTGTTCACCTTAGCTACGGACCCTTTTCTGTATTCTCATTTGCAGGGCTCAGGAATGCAGGAGATGCTGGTGAAGCAGCGCGCAGACTTTGAGCAGGGTCACTGTGTGTGTGTTGTGCACACTCGGGTAAAGCAGAGGAAGCAAAAAAGAAGGTAATAAACTGATGGAGAGAACACTACAAAAACGGAATAATATACCCCTGTTTTACACTGCCCTACCAAAAGAGATGAGCCAAGTCATGCAGCATGTAAGTCTAGTAATTACCCAGGCAAGTAGATTCATTTGTATTTTGCTGTTTTTTCTTAAGCTGAGAAGAGCTGCCACAGGTAAGAGTGTAGGCGTCTTGCATTCCTAACAGACAGATTATACAGGCAGACGTTAAAGGCAGGATGCAGACTATACACACAGACTGGGGATATCCACACAGGTTTTAAGACATTAGTAGTGTGCTGATCTTTATTCCCTTTTTAAAAAGGAACACTTAGGTAATTTCCAAAGTCAGAGCTTGGGGTAACTACCTGCATCTTTTTAAATAATCAATGTTTTAAAAGAGGTCAGGTATAAATGTGGCTTTGCCCTCTTGTTTGTACTTGGTCCTTAACCAAAGGCCGGTCCTAGTTTCCTGTTCCCCTAGACACAGGGACTGGGAGTGCCATGCAGGCAGCATGCTCAGATGCAGAGGATGGAGTGCCTCACATTCCTGAACTATGTTGGCCAGTCATGGAATGCCACGCACAGCACTGGAATTTCTATCAAATCCTCTTCACTGAAGAAAGCAACGGTTATGATCTAGGGGATCTGAGGGTAGAGTAGTTATACAAGTCAGAAAAAGGGGGATTCCTAGGGCTCTGGCAGGGACCTGAAAATACCTACATAAACAGAAAAGGTTTCTCTTTTTTCATTACTTATTACAGGCTTTTACAAGAGTAAGTCTTGTTATTCTTAAATTCTCTACATAACAGCACATATTGAACAGCCTCATGTTTTGTTCTATTTGGACTTACCAGAAATCAAATGGACCTCGGAGGGACAGTTTAAGATGCATTTATCGCTCCTATCGCTCTTTGTACAGGACAGCAATACTTTGGGTGATATATTATCAGGCAGGGACCCCTCTATCTCTAAACAGGATAAAACACAAACACTCATAGGAGAAGTAAAACATCGGCATCCACCATACAGAGAGACAGACTTGCAGCTACATCTGCCACATAACTGGTACCAAACTGCATCCATGCAATTTACATTCTGTACAGAGAGTAGTGGGAGGGAACTAAAAAAAAAAAAAAAATCCCACATGGATCAAACACCGTGTGTAATTTCCTTTCACGTAAAACTATCCCAGCATATTTTTTCATGCAGGAAAGCACAAAAGAGAACGAAAGAATAAGCCTAGATAAAAGCACAGAAAAGAAAGCACCAAAACCCCTCAGAGTATCTCCTGTTTTTCACCTGTTTCAACCATGGCTATCATGTCTGACTAAAAAGTAAAGCAGAAATCTAATGAAGGAAATAACGATCCATGCTGATTTGTTGGATGGATCAAGATTTTCAGCATTGCCTTGAGCTGCATAGCTTTCAAGCACACCCAAAGTATAAATACGTCTTCTATGCACCTTACCGACACAGTCCTTTTTATTCCAGTGTAATCTGTGGCTGGAATGACACTGACAGTCATAATCCCCCAGTGTGTTCACACAGGTCTGCTGGCAGCCTCCATTGTTGATGCTACATTCATTAATATCTAAAGAGGAGGGAGAAAAAGGCCTTTTAAAAATATTAATCTAGTATCATTTTCACACAGTGCTGAAATCATACAAACGCTGCTCTGTATCATTTGGATCTGATTCTATGGGCAACTTTTGAAAATCGGACCCTATATGCATCTGCATTCCCTACCACCCTTTGGCTGGTCAAAATGGTTTAGTTGTGTGTTAAATATGCTGCAAATTGACTGTTACAAACGTTCCAGCCTCAGCAATGTGTTTCAAAAGTTAACAGTGTATTGTTTATGGTTATTTATTAAGTTTGGAACAAAATCAGACAGTAACATACAAGATTCACACTGACCATTTTTCTTAAACGTTCAGATGCATAAATATGTTGCAATACATTTTATCTCACTGTTAATGAGTACACGAGGGCAATACTCTGCCGCATATCATTACCCCTTTAGGCTGAGTTCTTAGCCAATATTCAGGGCCTTGACAGGTTGCTTCCATTAGGGTGAGAAATCAGTTGTACAAGTCAGGTAGTTTTTTGTGTATCCATGCAATCCTGTTTAATTATAAAGAACATACACAAAGCCTTGTTTTCCTGAACATAGGGGGTAAGGATAGGAGGATGTTGGACCTCAGTTTCAGTGGGTTTAGAACCTGGAGCTGTAGGAGCCCTGGGTCTCTGATACTCCCTTGTCACCACCAAAGGAGATAGATGAAGATACCTCACCGATCCTGAAAGGTCAGGCTCCACAGGAAGACCTACCAGAATGCCCAAGGTGTGTGGTTGCCTGATTGGTTAACGCCCACTACTGAAGCCAGGAAGTGACCTTTATGGGCTGTCCGAGCACTGTGCACAGTCTCTCTCTGTTGCTGCTGCCTCAGACTCTGCTGTTGCCTGTCTCCTGTGATCCATATCCAACTCCCGCTCCCAGCTCCTGCTCTGCTCCTGTACCTGCCCCTGTCCTCGGTTCCTGCCTTGCTCCTGCTCCATGCCTAATCCTTGCCTTGTCTCGGCTCCTGCCCTCATGTTTCACTCCCGAACATTGGCTACCAGTTCCCAGTTCCAACCCTGGCTCATCTTCTGGCTACCAACTCCGACTTGATTCCTGATTCTGAGTCTGGCTCTGATCCTTGGCTAAACTCCCAACTCCAGCTCCACCCTGACCACAAGGTCTGATCGCCTACACGCTGGTTCCTAAGACACTGGGTGCAACACCAAGCAGTTTCCTGACTCGTGATTCCCAGACAGTCGTGTGACCCAGGTCCCAAGGAGCTCTGTCTCTCTGCTCTCTCTCAGGGTCATGCTCACAATTGCTTCTCTCCCACTCCCTTTCTGTGGGCTTACTGCAGCTTTCTGCCACCAGGATTTCAACAATTTCCACCCCACCATCAACCTCAGCCTGGACCAGTCCACACAAGAGGTCCACTTCCTAGACACTACAGTGCGATAAGCGATGGTCACATAAACACCACCCTATACCGGAAATCTACTAACCGCTATACTTACCTACATGCCTCCAGTTTTCACCCAGACCACACCACATGATCCATTGTCTACAGCCAAGCTGTAAGATACAACCGCATTTGCTCCAACCCCTCAGACAGAGACAAACACCTACACGATCTCTATCAAGCTTTCTTACAACTACAATACCCACCGGTGAAGTGAAGAAACAGATTGACAGAGCCAGAATAGTACCCAGAAGTCACCTACTACAGGACAGGCCCAACAAAGAAAGTAACAGAACGCCACTAACTGTCACCTACAGCCCCCAACTAAAACCTCTCCAGTGCATCATAAAGATCTACAACCTATCCTGAAGGACGATCCCTCACTCTCACAGACCTTGGGAGACAGCCCCATCCTCGCTTACAGACAGCCCCCAACCTGAAGCAAATACTCACCAGCAACCACACCACACAACAAAAACACTAACCCAGGAACCAAACCCTGCAACAAACCCCAGTGCCAAGTCTGTCCACATATCTATTCAAGGGACACCATCATAGGACTCAGCCACACCATCAAGGGCTTGTTCACCTGCACATGTACCAATGTGATATGTGCCAGCAATGTCCCTCTGCCATGTACATTGGCCAAACCGGACAGTTTCTATGCAAAAGAATAAATGGACACAAATCTGACATCAGGAATTATAACATTCAAAAACCAGTAGAACACTTCAGTCTCCCTGGACACTCAATAATAGACTTAAAAGTGGCAATTCTTCAACAAAAAAACTTCAAAAACAGACTCCAACAAGAAAGTGCAGAACTGGAATTAATTTGCAAACTGGACACCATCAAATTAGGCCTGAATAAAGACTGGGAGTGGATGGGTCACTACAAAAACTAATTTCCCCCTGCTGATACTCACACCTTCTTGTCAACTGTTTGAAATGGGCCCCCTTGTTTACATTGGCCTCATTAGCACTACAAAAGTGATTTCCACTCCTTCTTGTCAACTATTGAGAACAGCCCACTTCCACCTTAATTGAATTGAACTAACCCCCCACTTGGTAAGGCAACTCCCATCTTTTCATATTGAAAAAGATGTGTATTTATATCTCCCTACTGTATGTTCCACTCCATGCATCCAATGAAGTGGGTTTAGGCCATGAAAGCTTATGGCCAAATAAATTTGTTAGTCTCTAAGGTGCCACAAGGACTCCTCATTGTTTGCGCTGATACAGACTAACATGGCTACCACTCTGAATAATATACAGGGAAGCCTTTTAGTAACAGACACCAAAGGGACTGCTATTTTTCTCTGTTATAATGGGTGGTCACATAATGATGTACAGTTAATATGGAGGAACTTTTGTGAGGACTGATATTCTGCTGGCCATAAATGGGTTTCACTGCATATGACACAACACAGTATCCTGCAATATCCTGAACAAACCTTATTGAATTAAGTCAAAACTCACTGATTTTAGGAGTTTATTCTATTAAAAGTGCCAATGATTACATACTATTGAGGGACTGTATGCATTTCCATGGGGGGAAGGAACCACAGCACTCCATGAAGTAAAAGCAGTGGGAGATGGTGAGGCAAATTCACAAAGGTTGAATCATGTCAGAGGGCTACCACCACTTGGCAAGAGACTCACATGGTTCAAACTGGATTCTCCAGAGAGCAGCAGACAAAAGGATTTTTGGATAAATAGCCTGAATTAAAACTAACTCAGACCCTTCTTTCTGATCCAGCAAATGGACAGGACCTCGGTCCAACGAGGATCTCCAATCCTTAGGGAAGGGTTGGAAGGATTTGAGCCCAGTGAGGCCCCATAAGACTTGGGTGATGGTTTTCAGCTAAAGCTCTGATGAACCTGTGCCCACAGGGAAAAAACCCTATCTGGCACTGGAAGGACTCATTACCAGCCAGAGCTCTTATTGGAGTGTGGGGTGATCTCTGGTGAGCTTATTGGCATCCATGTAAATTCTTCTATTGTTTAAATATGTTTTCTCTGTGATGCTTTTACCTTAAGAATAAACGGGCTTGCTTAGAAAGAGCTGTGTGGTAACTTAACTGTGTCGATTACACCGTGTCCCATTTCTGAGGAGAGAAGTGAAGCAGGCCTGCTTAGGCAGCCTGTCTTTTGCTGGGGAGGTCACAGTATAGTCAGGGAACTGTTGGGCCTAGAAGTACCCCATCAGAAGGGAGAGAGATGCAGGTCTCCCCTCAAGAGAGGCAATGGCTGCAGAGTTGGAAGCCTGAGAGCGAGTGCCCTGGCTGGACCACAGAGGGGAAATACAAGTGAAACTGCTCTGAACTTTGATAGCAATGTTGTCATATTTTTGTCTCTCTCTAGCTGGGTTCAGTAGAGGTAGAGGTTGGAACAACTGCACTCAAAGATGTTAAACCAAAAAGTCTTAATTGGCATGTTTGCAGCATGCAGCTCCTAGGAAGCCAGGTGGGTAGTCTCACCTTGTGCTGGCTACTCTCACTGTCATTATTCCCAATGCTATATATATTTTTTCTCTGCCCGATGCAAACACAGGTCTTCCCACCTGATCTCTAACACGCACTGCAGAATCACATGCCATACCTATGAAACACATTTCTCTTAGGCCTTCATTCTTCTCCCATTGACTTGGGTGGCACAGGATCAAACCCATAAACAGGAGTTTCTGTGTGAATGGTCAAGTGAAGCTATTTCCTGGAAGTGATTCCACTCTCACTGGAGCAGCATCTTTGTGAGTTTCCATAACAGCAGTGTTCATCCATTCTCCTGTGTTCCCTGTTCCCACTCCACAGGGTAATGATGTGACCGCCTACCCTGAGTCAGGGGTGCATGTAGGGTGACCAGATGTCCCGATTTTATAGGGACAGGCCTGATATTTGGGACTTTTTCTTATATAGGCACCTATTACCCCCCACCCTCTTTGTCCCGATTTTTCACACTTGCTATCTGGTCACCCTAGGTGCATGGTACCTTACTACCAGTCAGTATGAACAGGGGTGACAGAATCAGGTCCCATGTTAATAGAAGGATGTTCATATAAGACTGCATTAAATACAAAGGGGAAATTAATTTGGTCCTTTTGTCCACATTGCAAAACTACCACAAAACTGATTATCTGTCTCTGCTCAAACAAGGTCTAGGACTGGAATGGCAGAGATGTTGCAGGTCAGGAGGGGAAAATGGCAATACTGCGTGGGGAAGTCTGCACAGCAACTGCCTTCATTACACAAGACAAAAGCCAACTGTGATTAGTCCCTCATATTAATAAGCAATGAGGTTGGGATTTTCAAAGGAGACCTCGGGAGTTAGATGCCCAAATCTCATTGAAATGGGTGCTTGGTATCTAATTCCCTTAGGCTCCCCTGAGAATCTCAGCCTAAATTCATCCCCATGGTTAGAAACACCCAATATGATGCAAAGAAGAATTGTGAACATGACAACGTATTTGCATCATGGTCCCCAAGGTCAATCCTGCACATTCTGCCTCATATTCACATATGCATATCATTGAACTGAATTCATATATATAGTCATATAAGATCTTGCCCATGTTTCACATGAAAATAGCTTTGTTTTCATTTAGTGTCAAATAACTCAGGCTGCTTCATACGAATGTTCTGCAAGTTTCCTTGCTTCAGATGTCAGATCAAGGTCCATGTCAACATATTGGTCTCTTTCACTTAGGGTTTCTTTGGAATCAGAAGTAAACAATTTAGGGCCAAATTCTTAGCTGGTATAAACCAGTGTAACTCCATGACTATAGTGGAGCTACGCCATCTTAGACCAGATGAGGATCTGGCCGTTAGGCTTGTTGGTAATGTGTATTTATTCTAAAGGAAGCCTGCAAAATACTTAACATCATAATTCATTTGAAGCCTTTTCTTACAAGTTTTCAATTAGCGTACAGAACTCCACATGAAATCAATGGGAATTTTTCATGTGGAAACACTGTTGGATCATGGCCTAGAATCTATGTGTGGAATGCATCTGTTTGTTCTAATGGTCCCTGTTGCTTTCCAATACATAGATGGTGGGGGTGGGAGGGAAATCATTTAAGCAAAAAGACATAGTCAAGGATTGTGTTTCATTTTTGGATGGGCTCCCCTTTTGAAAAACTGCCTGGAAAAGACAAAGGATAAATTTGCTGTACAGGGTTTTAGACATATGGATCCCATTGATGTTAATGAGCGTTGCTCCTTCACTCTGACAAACATATACACTAGTATCTTTTTATACTCACCTCCGCGTTGCTCCTGCACTCTGACAAACATATACAAGAGTATCTTTGTATACTCACCTCCACAATGCGTGAAGCCATAGAGAGTGTATCCTTTGTTACAACTACACTCAAAAGAGCCTGGATGATTGATGCACGTATGGTCACATGTCCTTTCAAAAGAACATTCATCAATGTCTGTAATTTTTAAAAGGATACGTTAGTGTCTCTTGGCTTGTCAAGGAAGCATTTATAAGCTAGCAAAGTTGGATGTAGAGACACACAGCTTTATATGACATAAGCGAATTCTTTTAAAGCCATTAGTCTGTAACATATTGAAGTAACAACTTTTAAGCGAGCAGTTAGTTTGCCAAGTAAGACATTTCTTGGCAAGTGAGTAAACGAGGTTATATTTTTAATAGTAATGTTTAAAATAAATATCTGCAAAGTTCTCTTCACTGCAGAAGACTGTCGGCGGAAAAAAAAATGCTTCTGCAAGGAAAGGCAACGCAGAGTCAGCAGGAAAAATATTTTCAAAGTAACTTTCTGTTTCCTTCTGCCTTTGACAAAACTGAGAGGCCAAATATTTACCTCAACTGTGCATGCGCAGTGCTTGTTTTAGATCTGTGTTCGGCCCCTCACCTAGCAACTGAAATACCTCTCCCAAAGGCAATAAAGGACAGGAAGTGTTGGGAATTCATGCAGGTGAAAGGCATCAGACTGGTACCCCTAGAAACCCAAATGCTCTCCTTTGCTATACAGAGCATGGGCTTCTGCAGAAGCTTCCTCCACCCAGCCCAAGCAGTGTGTCTCAGTGCAGCTTTGAAGGGACCATCACGTGGATCTATTCTTCTCTTTGTGGAACACCACTGGATACATCTATCAGTAGGCCATAGATGCATTACACTGCACATCTTGGGCTTAAGCTTTGTATGCCTTAAGCCTTTGTCTTTAATGCTGGCTAGAATGTCTGCTTCATCCAGCTGAATTTTTCCTGGGCATTTTAATCATTTTGAATATTGTACATCTTACCTAAAAAAGCAAATTCAGTGTAAAGGCCCAGTTCTGCTCTCACTGAAGTCAATGGCAAAGTTCCCATGGATTCCATGGGCAGCAGGATCAGAGGCCCTAAATGTTTATTATATTATCATCAAAAATACTCTATGTTGCTATAAAAAAATATTAAACATAATGAGGCTTATTCTGTTCCCATAGAAGTCCGTGGCAAAACTCCCATTGACATAGATGGAAACAAAATTGGAGTCTTACCCCAAATTTGCTCTTTAAGGGATCAGGCCCAAATCAAGCTACATCAAGTTTACAATGTTCTAGAAGTGACAGAAAAAACATAGACAAAAGGAGATATAAATCCTTAAAATATACATTCATAAACAACTTCCATCAGAAATCTTGGAAATCCTACATTTCTCCGGCAAGTTTGCTTTGCATAAATATTTGTCCTGTTAAGTCTGACCTAAAAAAAGATTAGAAATACCCACACTGGAGTGAAGTTTCTTTCTTGATAGTTCCATTTTCTGCCAATCTCTATTATTTTCAGATAACCATTCAGCATACAGTGAACAACCTTTCAAACAAATCTCCCACTCTGATATCATGGCAAAGGCTTTGATTTTTAACAGCAACTTTAGAAAGAAGAAATCCAAAGCATGACAATCACTCGGGAGTCTACCAGCACCTCATTACTTCAGTAGGTATCCAAGCCAGTCTTATTTATTTTACTTTTTTTTGCCTCCCCATGCACATACCTTGACAAGACTTCTCATCGGTCAATAATTTAAATCCTTTTTTGCAGCTGCAATCAAAACTGCCAACAGTGTTTTTACAAAAATGATCACAGCCTCCATTGCTGGCCTGGCATTCATCAATATCTGTAATAGAAAAGTGATTAGCAAAGAAAAGGAACATCTTTGGTGTCCTTTCGTTGGTAGATCCCAAAGACATATACATGTTCTATGCATGAAAAAGCTGGACATGACTGGAAAGTTCATGTTCTCTGAAGGGAGAGTCCTGAACAAGATTCAATAACTAAATCACCTTGAACTTCAGGAAAATTCAGATTCAGAAATGATCTTTGCAGTTCAGGCCCATTTCTGTATTATTTCCTTTAATCTAATATATTGCTATCAAATTCACATTCACTTGAGCACACACATACAGAAGGGCTCTTTCTTATCTCATATGATTAGAGAAGATAAAGTCATTCATCCTTCTGGAAAGCCCTTAGAGCCTTAAACTAAGCTTTTCTCTTTAAAGGTCTTAACTTTTTAAAAATTCTCTCTCTTCCTCCTCCCCAAAGTGCTTCAGTTACAGACAGAAGAGACCTATTGGGTCACCTTACCCTGCCCACGCCCGTGTCAGATTGTTGAGTTCTTTGTCTAATTCTAAATGAGTCAAGCAAAAGGGACTCCATCACTTTGCTTGGCATGAGTCTAAAAGACCTCACTCTTGGGAATTTTATTCTAACATGTGACTTACATTCTCCTTTGCTCGTTTTCAACACTTTATTTCTTGTTATATCTGCTTGCCCCAACATAAATAATTCCACACCTATCTTCATATTTAAACCTTTCAAATGCTTGTTATAATATCAGGCTGACAGTCTGATCCTCCATGGAGATATACGCCTGCAATAGCCTGGATGCATGCCTTGGCTGGTGGACTAGAGGCTACATTTACCTCCATTGTACCATCAGTGCATTGCTACCTCCTGATTAGAAAAAGAGGCCATACTGGAGATCGGAAGGGTGTCAAAGGCAAAGCAGAGATACTTTGCACTCACATGCTCCATATCTAGGTCTGGTGCAACAGGGACCATGTGCAAGGGGACTGTGCAACTCTCCCTGCCTTCCGTGTTTCCCTCGTGCTCTCCAATGCCCAGGTAGATACACATTGGCTTTTTCTCAGGAATGTTTCAACTAGTTTCCCTTTGAGATTAGTGCACTTGCTGCTAGGTGTTTATACAGGTATGTTTCCAAAACTGCAAAATCTACCTTTACATGTCTTCCCATCAAACTGGAGTGTAAATCCGATGGGACAGCTGCAGTGAACTCCAGTCGAGGTGTCTTTGCAAGTGCGGTCGCATCCACCATTATTTACAGCGCACGTTTCTAACACAGAAAAAATAAAGCTAACATTTGTACAGAAATGTTGTAAGGGAAATAAAGTAGCATGTGGTGCGAGCAGTGGCCCACTCCATTTCTATTCAGCTATATTGTATATTTAGAGAAGGAAGAAAATATCTACATTCCTTGTATCTTTGCCTGTCTGCCTAATTTATGCATGTACCAGTTTTAGCAAGATGTCTGGCTGGAGATAGGCAACCACCATCCCTCCCCAAGCCACCTCCAACTTGCTGTGAGGCTTCCTCAAGGGTCTGTCCTTCTCTTCTCCCTGTATACCTTATCTTTGGGAAATTACATCCATAAACACAAATTAAGCTACCATCTCTATGCTCTCTCTCTGCTCCAGACCAGTCTCCTTCTGCCCAAATTAAAATCTTGGCCTGTTTCTCCAATATCTCCTCATGGATGCCATCAGCTCAAATCAACACGGCTGATAAAGAATTCCTAATCCTGCTCCCTAAAACTCTCTCCGCCGCCTTCTTTCTCAATCCCTGTAGAGAACATCACCATCCTACCTGTCAGTCTGGCCAGTAACCTGGGCATCATCTTTGACCCTGCTTTACTTCCACAAATCTAGGTGTCAGCAATCAGGGCCTGCAGCAGAGCCAGTCTCCCAACAAAATGATCACAGCTGGCCCGACTGATTGGAAGAATCAATCGATTGACTTTTAAGACCAGCAGCAGATCAGTGGCTGCTCCATGGTTGCAATAGCTCCTGTGCCTGCTGGTTCCCAGCCCTGTTCCTGCCTCACCTCATCCAGGTAACCAAGTTATGTCTCTTGGATCTAATTCCTGACCCCTGAGTTCAGCTCTGACTGTTGGCTCTGGCATCTGGGAGCTGAAGAACACCTGCAGTCTGCCAAAGAACCCCATAAACACCATGCAGACGAAGACTATCAGGCTGACCCCAATCTGGCTACAGGGGACAAAGTGTGGCTCTTGACCAGAAACTTAAATCAAGCCACCCATCCACCAAACTAGACTACCAATACCTGAGCCCCTTCAAGATTATAAAATGGGTGAAGCCAGTGGCCTTCGGATTATAGATGCCCAAGTCCTTAAAGATCCGTCCTGTCTTTCAGATCTCACTTTTAAAGCCCTATATCAAGAACCCATACCCAAACCACTTCAATCCACCACCCACAAAAGTCCACAGACAGGAAAGTACTTGGTCCACTGGATCCTCAACTCTCAGTGAGTGAGGGGAAAGCTCCAGTACTTGGTGGACTGGGAAGGGTACGCTCCGGACAAGCAGTCTTGGGAAGCAACAAAGAACATCTATGCCCTGGACCTATTATGAGAGTTCCATTGGAAGTACCCTGAGAAACCAGGACCCAAGTCCCCAGTGAGGCACCTTCAAGGAGGGAGTATTGTCAGGAATCAAAGTTTGCAGCACAGTCGGTCTGGAAGCAGGGCCTGCAGCAGATCCAGTTCCTGGGCAGCCTTGCCTCCTTCCAGGTAACTCAGTTCTGATCCTTGGCTCTGATTCCTAACCTCTGACTTTGGATTTGCCTTTTTGCTCTGGCACCTGGTTCTGGCATCTGGGCTCCGACTCCTGGGTCCAGCTCTCACCCTGGGCTCCAATTTCTGGCTACTGACTCCTGTTATAACCACTAGGAGTGACTTGTGCTCTGATCATTAGATCTACTCCGACCACTAGGCACAACCACCTACTCCCGGTCAAAGACATCAGGCTATGTCTAATCCTGCCATTTCTTCCTGCAGAACATCTCTAAGATATGGTCTTTCCCATCCATTCACATAGCTAAAATTCTCATCCAAGCTCTCATTATCTCATGTCTCAATTACTGCAACATCCTTCCCTCTGACCCTGACAAATGCAATCTTGCCCTGCTTGCATCCATTCAAAATGCTGCTGCAAAGAATCTTCCTAGCTCATTGCTTTTCCCATGTCATCCCCCTTGTCTGCATTCTTCCATTGGCTCCCCCATCTCTATTCTATCAAACATAAACTGTTTGTCTTCACTTTCAAGGCCCGTCACAGCCTGTCCCCACCCTACCCCTCATCTCTCATTCGGCATCGAAAAGTTGACTCCTATCTCCATCGCCCACTTGAATTTTCAGACAAGCACCTTTGTGCTTTCTCTCATTCTGCCCTGGACAGTTGGGAGGAACTCCCCATAAACATCTACAAAGCTACCTCATCATCAACCTTCAAAACCCTCCTCAAAACTCTCCTTTGCCGTGATGCTGACAGACAAAAACAAAAAATACCCCACATGACAACAGTTGTGCTCAGACCATTGCTAATCATACTTACCATCTTATCTCATTGTTTCCTTGTATTCCACCATTGATTTGTCTCTAGCTATCTGTTGCCTCTTGTCTGACACTTACATTGTAATTTCTTTGGGGCAGGGAACATCTTTTTGTTCTGGATTTGTAACACACACATCACAATGGGGTTCACTCCTAGGTGTTCCGGTAATATAAATAATAATAATAAGCTCCTTAGCACAGAACAGAGGAGACCGCCCTTCTCCACTGCTAGCCAGCTCCACAGCATGGGTGTGGGGAATGAACTTCTCTCATCTCCCACTGATCTTAACCGGACTGTTGGGAGCGCAATACTTTTAAAAATCAGGCTGCTTATTTAGGTGCCTAAATATGGATTTCGGAGCCTAACTTTAGTCTCCGATTTTTTAAAGCTTTCACCTCTGCCTCTACTACTTTGAGGAGGCTGCCAGCAGGAATAGTAAATGATCAGTGCCAGCTGTGGAGATGCTTTTGTGACCCAGATATCTGTTCACTCGGAACCGCACTGAGATCACAGGGACTTGTTCCATAGTCCCCTGGATACACCTTTGCATTAAACAGACTACAACTAAAATTAGTTCGTACTGAAACATTTCAGGACAGGGACGATGTGTGGCACTTCCCTAGGAGAGGAAAAAAAGTGAAGCATTGGAAATTTCTTGTTGTACTGTGGGAATTTGCTGCCCCCCCCAACTCCCTATCAGCTACAAAATCGAGGTGAACTCCAACTCCAAACAAACCTGTCCTTACAGTCCATTTAACCCTTCAGTACAAAGAGACACACACGGGGAAAAATAGTGCATCTTATTGTTAAAGGGACAAAACAAGTTTAGAGGATACTGCGCCTGATTCTCGTCTTCCATACACCAGATTTATACTGTTGTAACTATCTACCTCAGGGAACCAGTTAAAATACTGGAGGTCCATTGACCTACTTACAACATGGTTAAAGACTGTAATATAGATGGAATCTAACCATGCTCCCATTGCTGAATTAAAACCTTGGACAGTCGCAAACTTTAGCCCATATACAAAGATAGAGCTAGGTCCCGTCCACACTACAATTTATCTCTATGGTGACTGGGTCCCCTAACTTAGCTAGAGCTGTAAGGTCAGGGACCCCAAGTAGAGAAGAAGAAGAATTATATGAAAGTGGTTAACATTCTGGGAAACATCTAAAGAGACTAGAACCCTGCTTTCCACCAGGAGTTGGTTGTTCACAGTGCATGTCTCAGAGGTAGGAAGGATAGTCTCGTTGAAGCACTGGACTAGGACTCACGAAACCCAGGGTCAGTTTCCAAAGTTTCAGTGGGACTTTGGGCCAGTCCCTTAAATCCCGCTGTGCCAATCAAAGTGGCCAGTACCAAAGAGTTTAAAGGTTTTGCATTTAATCTGACTCTAAAAGAAATCATCTGACTAGGAGTTTGGTGAGTTTTATATTCAAGCTCTGAATAGCAGAATAGTCATAGATTGGGGAACTCAGTAGTGACAGCATAGGTAGAGAGCAGGTTTCTTGGCTCTGGTTCAGCTCATACTGCTATACATCTCAAATACTATACATGGTTACTTATATACTATAGGGACATAGCCTTTCCTTATAGGTGAGCGAGCATCCATTGAGTTCAATGGGTAGTGCATGTCTCTCCAAGGGCAGACTTCAGCCCATAGTCACAATAGCTATGTTCAATGACAGCTACCCAATACAGTAAGGGTTCACCATGTAAGAATAGTTAAGAAACCCTACAGCAAAACAAGATGGGCACTTTTACCCATGATCAGCCGCCGCTTTACTCGCTTATCCACATCAGCTCCCGCTGTGGCATTGCTCTCAGAGATCTCAGCTACAGCCTCCTCTCTTTCTGTAATGCAAGTACATGGGGAGTAAAAAATCAGTGAGTGGTAGTGCGACGGTTGGTACCTAATGCAGTGGCCAACTATCTTGTACGACATTCCTTTTGAAATCCAATTCTAAAACAAAGCTAAGCTCTACAATTAGTTGAATCATATATCATAAGCAGAAACAGTCAGAAATAAACACTTAAAAACAAAAAAAAACCTATTAAAACTCCCCAATTAAAAACTTCATAGCTCTTTTTCTTGTTTTGTTTTCATTTGCTTTTCAAAGACCCATGTGTTCACCTCAGAAATCTTAAAACATAGTAGCTGTCGTGAACAGAACAACAAAAGGGTTAATCAGAGATCAGATGCTACATACCAGTGTCCTGCCATCCTGATCACCCACTGGCTAATGAAAGAGATGACTAACTGTGGCTGGGTTTTTGTTTTTAATCAATGGTCAGAGACCGGTCATCAAAGCATTTGTGTTCATCCACCAAAGCATTTCTTTACATAAGAATGGATGCCTTTCTAACAGATATGCTTTAGTTCAATCGGATGTTATAGGTTTGATGCAGGAATTGCTTGGTGAAGTTCTTGGGTTATACAGGAAGTCCAATTAGATGATCCTAGAGGTCCCTTTTGGACTCTACGAATCTATGAAAACTTAAGAAAATGGAAAGGAATTGTCCCCTGATTAATAGCATGTGTGATGCTTCACAGGTACCAGAACAAAATATACTTAAAAACAGAAGTTCTTTTTTTCTTTAACATTCTGGGCCAGTTCTTCTGTGCTTCTCATGCAATCAGAAAGCAGCCTGTAAGGTGGAGAGTCCATTAACATAGGGTAACCTCCATGGGATGTAAAGCCAGCACAATCAGCTCTACACCACCTTCTTCTGGCCTTTCCTAGTGCTCAAGTGCTCCCCAGATAGCAGAATGCTCCGCAAGGGATTTCCTGCAGGCATCACTTAGAGCAGCCCTAAAGTTTCTCTAAGTAATGCCAGGGGCCAAACTGGATCCAAATTCAGAGTCGGGGGGAGCAGAAATGTGACCTAGAACCACTTTTCCTTCACACCTAAGTCTTGTGTCAAGCACGGGTTGGCGAGACCCATAGATCTGGCCTATGCTTTCAAAGATCTTGTCGTTTTGGCCTCTATGCAATTTTTCAGCAATATAACTGGAACATATTACTCTGCAGAAATGGTAACATTTTGAAACTCATTTACATGTGAGTCATCAACAGAAAAGAATTCATCCACTGCTTACTGACCAAGGCAGGTTTTCCCATCTGAGTGCACTGCGTACTTTGGGTGACATCCACAAATGGGCCCATCATCGGCATCCTCACAAGTATGCTGACACCCACCATTCCCATGATTGCATGTCACTGGAAAGAAAACATACAGTGGAGCCTCAAATTTCAGATCACTGCACAGGGCTGAATTTACCCTTCTCAAGTGTGAATGTTAACATGACTCCCAAACTAGAGCTTTCAGTACTAATTGATGGATTTGCACAATGACATTCTGAAAACCCACTATTTTAATATGATATTTCACTTCATCAAAAACATACAGTCTAAATATTGTATCATCCTAGCACATCCATAGATACAACTGCCAAAATTAGTGACCAACTGCGGAAATAATAGAATTCTATTTGTTCCCTTTAAGGATCAGTATGAATTTGTTGCATACAAATGCAGTCCCTCTGGTTCCTGGCCAGTTCAAATCCAGGTCTGCATTCACATGCCACTCCTCCTTTCGGTGCTTCTCTGCAGATATGGGCACAGCCATGGTCTTTATTCATGCAGCTCATGCCATCTGCAAAACAGTACAAATATCACAGATCATCAGTATCCTCAGTGTCTTCAGATGCAGGTAACAGTTCAAATACAAACATTAGCCCAACTGTAAGTAAACAGCAGACAACTTGTACCTCTTGAAAGAATTTCCTGTAACTGAACAAAAGGAAAAAAGTATCAGCTGATATACAAGAAATAAAAAGAACCTGATACTGCTAAAGGCTAAGCAAATGGCCTGCAAGGTGATTTCCCTGCTCCTAATCCATTGTCTGTTTGTGTCTTAAGGTCTCCGGGGCAGGGATCTTCCATCTCTGTGTTTGTACAGCACCCAGTACAATGAGACCCCAACCTTCATTGAGGCCTTTGGGTGCTACCATAATATAAATATTTATTAGTAATAATAACTCCTCCTCTTCCTCCCACATATTTTAATAGGAATTGAGAGATAATCAGTACCTTGCAGGACCAGGCACTAAGGCTGTCATTTCCCCTTTAGTCGCCCCATAAAATAGCAAAATGAGCTGTTGTGAGGCAAGGGAATGTCCTCATTTATTCAGAGACATACAAAATTCAAATGCTTCTTCTCACATCTTTTCAAATTACTGGCCTTGATCCATAGAGTCACAGAGCCACATTTTCTTTGGTGGTTATCAGCGGACCCAGCAGTCACACATACCGTACCCATGGGCAGCAAAGAATTTGCTGTTTTGGGAGCATCTTAACCTTTTCTGACATCTACTGGATTCTTTCTAATTCCAACCCGTACATTTTAACAACACCTCTGGAGAGTCATCATGATGTTTTATATACAACTGCACCTCTGTGCTGTGTCTCTCACTTGCTGAATAGAATGTAGTACAAGCAAGTGCAGTCTGGATCCAAATGAATAGAGTAATGTGACATTAGTTGACTTTTTCTTCTCTTCAGTGTACCTCATAAAAACCTGTATAAATCTCCTGTATAAAACCTGTCCCCTGTATAAATCTCCCCACTGTATTTTCCACTGAATGCATCCGATGAAGTGAGCTGTAGCTCACGAAAGCTTATGCTCAAATAAATTTGTTGGTCTCGAAGGTGCCACAAGTACGCCTGTTCTTTTTGCGGATACAGACTAACACGGCTGCTGCTCTGAAACCTGTTATGGTGAAGTAGTTCTCAAGCAGCTGCTGCCTGTTGTAATAGCAATCCTAGATATCAGTGCTGAAGCTCATTGACAGAGCTTTAGGCATGACTTGCAAAATGTCCACACATCACTATGGGCCTCCAGCCTAATCCACCACGAGTGTCACACTGCACAGAAATAGCGTAACACTGCAAAAAGTTCTAGCATGTTACAATATATACAAAACACATACACACACACAACCCTTGCAACAGCACAACTTTTGGCTGGAATGTGACTGCAAAAGAAAACACAAATTTCCATATTACAGAAATGTTGGGGTTTAAACTATTAACTCTCTCATATGGCTTAGTAGTACAGAGCAGAATACTCTAGATCCTTACTGAATCCTCTTGTATTGCTAAAATTCAGGAAGCAGCAGAGAAAGACTGACTGCTTTTTCTTTTTAGATAATATAACCACTTCAAGAGGACTCTGGTCAGTTTATTTAGGCTTGCTGGCTAATCTTATTGAGGGCCCAATCCTGCGCCAACTGAAATAACTCCCATTAACTTCAGTGGAAGCAGGATCCGGCCCTGAATAAAAAATAAATAAATCGGAGACAAGACTCATTGTGTAAAAAAAATAGGTAAAGGTTTCCTTAACCTATGCATTTTCAAAATATCCTCTCTTTGAAGGAATATTATTAAATGAGGAAAAAAATTTTGTAGTGGGAGCTGGGGTCAACCTTTCATAAACATTCAGTTACATTTTAATCAGGCAGTTACTTTGCATATTATATTTTTGACATCCCAATTTTAGGCTACAATATTCTTCCTCTATTAAGAAAGCTTTAAGTAACAAAGGAATGGATGCTACATTGCTTAGATTATTCTGCTCTATTGGCTTTTTGATTCCTTTCCCACAGTGGGATGCCTTTCCCCTTTTCCCTTTCCTTTCCTTTCCCACTCTGTAGAAGCCTAACAAGACAATGATGCCTCAAATCTGACAGAATATACAAAAGAGCCCAAAGATCCCCACATGAAAGCCAACATCCACTATTATGGTGTCAATCAAGGATCTGTGCAGCACATAAGATCACAAATTAGCCTTATTAACTCTAGTGTTTTTGTGATATTTTTAAGTTTAAACATGCAATATGATCTGTCTGTAAGCTAAGAGGTGTTAAGAAAGCATTAAGAGAATTAACGGATTAGTTTCTGTTAGCAAAGTAATTTCTTTGTGTGCATTCATCTCCTGAAGAAGAAACTGTTAAACCAGGTACTTTGGTAAAGTTCACTGAACTCGAACAAATAGTTTAAATGCTGAATTGGTAATTGCTCAGTTCTGTGCATGTGGAATTCAGTCACTTCTCCACCAAAAGTTAAAATGGACCTTACAAAATGAACTACATTTTAATAATAAAATACCCAGGATCTGACTAGTTAAATGTGCTTTCCATGACCATAAAAACAAAATCTAGTTGACCAAAAAGAGGATATTTTATGGAGAAGTGCATACAAATGTTTTAACATTTTATTTACTATAAATCAGTCACATTATTTCACAGGCCTGTTTAAAAATCAGCTCCAATGAACATTTTATATTACATAAAATATATATATAAAAATGTCAATGTATCTGTACCTGATATGAGAATGAGCAAAGTGATTCAATTCTTATGCAGTCATATCAGTGGAACTGTATAGGGAATAAGTCAGAATGGTATTTGTCCAGCCAGATGTACACCCAGTTAGCAAGCCCTGCTAAGTGCTGCGGGAAGGTGCTGTATCAAGGCTGGGTCATACTCATCACCATAATTGCCATTCTGTTGTCAACACTCAGGCTCAGATTCTGGACAGTCTTGTGCAGGCGCACAAGGAGGTATGGGGAAAGGATGTCCCTTTACAAAGAGCGACCAGAATCTCGGTGCTGCCCTGCTTGAGCACAAGCCAGGGGAATGCCAGCACCATTAGCAGAGCTAGACATCCCTGGAGTGCTGCATCCCTTCCAACAAACTGGAGAAAGGGACTGGTCCTGTGTAGAGTGCATGCTTTACCCTGTTAAAGGGAGCAGCATTTCCCACTCCCAGAGACATTCTGGCTGCCTAGGTCTCCACAGGTAAAATGTCTCCAGGAGTTGCTGCTGATGCGGTGCCTCTGTGCACTAGCCTTCAGATGGCATGGCTTTAAATCTAACCCTAATGTGCCAAATCCTGCCGCTCGTATTCATGCCCACTGATTCTGGCCCAAAAGAAGTAAATAACCGTGGCTTGTGTGACATACTGTGATGGACTGTGATGAATTCCTAAGTGGAGACGGATTATCACTAGAAATGATAATAAGAGGATACATCATGGTCACAACACTTATTTCTATGGTAAAAACTGCATGTGCATGGCATCCCCTGGAATCTGCTAACTCGCTATTGTTAGGATATAGATATTCAGGCCTGTCTGCAAAGGCCTGTACTTTAAGAATTTAGGTGTATTCTTATCACTTGGCTAGTTAGAGGTATAAAAGAAAGAATCAAAATCACTGTCTGCCAGTGTAAGGTCCTTCTCTTACTGTGACAGTCTGAGGCCCTGTTCTTAGGCTAAGGCCTTTGGCTACGCAACAGAGGCAGCCATAAGCTGGGAAGCGACCGGTCACATCCTCACATTCCAAAACTAATCACATTGAAATAAGGTGCTATTGGGCTGTTAGGAATACAATCCTGTCCTGAGAGTGCCTATCACCTCCAGAGAAAGGGAAGTGCCTAGAAAACGTAAAAGGAAACTTAGTTTGATAGCATCCTGTCTGGCAAGAACTCGCTTATCAATAGCTGGGATGTGAAATCCTCACTTCTGTATTGTTTTGTCATTATAGTTCCCACTTTGCTATTGTTTGTCTGTATAATCTCTGTCTGGTTCTGTGATTGTTTCTATCTGCTGTATAATTAATTTTGCTGGGTGTAAACTAATTAAGGTGGTGGGATATAATTGGTTACATAATCATGTTACAATATGTTAGGATTGGTAAGTTAAATTTCAGGAAAATGATTGGTTAAGGCATAGCTAAGCAGAACTCAAGTTTTACTATATAGTCTGCAGTCAATCAGGAAGTGAGTGGGTGGGTGTGTGGGTGTGGGGGAAATGGGAACAGGGAATGGAGGTGGGGAAATTGGAATCATGTTTTGCTAAAGGGGGAAATGGGAACAGGGAATGGGAGTAGGGAAATTGGAATCATGTTTGGCTAAGGGCAGGAATGGGAACAGGGACACAGGTGTAAGGCTCTGTGGTGTCAGAGCTGGGCAGGGGGACACTAAGGAAGGAAACTGGAATCATGCTTGCTGGAAGTTCACCCCAATAAACATCGAATTGTTTGCACCTTTGGACTTTGGGTATTGTTGCTCTCTGTTCATGCGAGAAGGACCAGGGAAGGAAGTGGGTGAAGGAATAAGCCCCCTAACAGGTATTATGAAGCAAATTAAACAACAAAGAGAAAAGCCATAGGTAGGCAAGTGATTTATCGCTATTACTGATGCAATGTCCTCACAAAGCATTTGTTCTGTCGCTTACAGCTGAAGAGGAATAAATCCAGGGCATGTAGTCAAGGAAAACTTATGATTGTGCACAACTCAGTGGGAGGCTATGAGCCCAGCTGACCTACACAAGGCTTAAACAGAGCCAGAGAACCATCTGGAGCACCACACTGCTCTTGATCCACCCCACTACAGTAGATAACTATCACACCTGACTATTGCCTCCAAAAACTCCTGCAGTGTTCCAGCTCACAGACCTGAGCCAGACAATGTGGAGCACAGCAGATGAGGGAGGATGGATTCCAGGAAGCTAATAATCCAAGTCAACCTCAACATGCAAATCAGCTGGAGCAACAGAATAGCCACTCAGTTGCCTTCTCATTCTATCCACAGGCCAGGACTCCTGCCCACCTCCACAACCTCCTTACTCTGTTAAGCTGCTTATACGAACCACATCACCGCAGAATCAGAGAGTCCACAAACATCAACAGATTTATCCTCAGAACACCCCTAGGAGGTAGGGAAGTGCTCTTACAGATGGCAAACTGAAGTACAGGGAGATTGAGTGCTTCCTCAAAACTACACAGGAAATCTGTGGCAAAGCAGGAAAATGAACTCAGATCTCCTGTATCTGAATCCTGTGCCCTAAATACATGACTATTTTTCCTTATTATAGAAGTAGGCTAAGGGAGGTGGGTACAAATGTCAGGGGAGGAAGAAAGAGAAAGAGAAATGGGAGGAGGGTCAGAGAAATAGGGGACAGGGATAAAGTGAAGTATGGGCACAGAAGAGATTACATGTACAGAAGAAGAGAGAGGTGAGGCTCCATCATGGGGTAGAAGAAAAAAAGAAGAAGGGGGAGATGGAAAATAGGTAACCATGGAGAGGCAGTTTAAAATTTTTGGGGTTTTCAATGAAAAACTGAAATCTGAAAAAATGTTGGTATTCTCAAAGCATTTTAGGTAAAAATATGAGGTTTTTGGTAAAAAAAAAATTATTGGTTTCCACAAAAGTGAAAAATTTGACTTGAAAAGAAAATTTCTACTGAAAAGGTATTGGTTTTTCACTTCCAGTTTTTCGATGAAAAAGCAGAAATTGTCAACCAAAATTAAAATTTTCAGAAAAAAATTACTTTTTGGTCAAAACCACCCTTTTTTGGCAAACATAAATGTTTTGACAACAAATGTTTGACCAGCTTTAGTGTCATGGAATATGGGGAATCAGTCAACCAAAAATGAGGAAGCAGGTGAAGGGGAAAGAGACAGCAAAACGGAGGAGAACAAGAGCAGCAAGACAATGGATCCTGGGAGAGAATTTGGGGAGGAAATGGAAAAGATACAATGAAGAATGAGGGGAAAGAAGTTGTTACTCCTGCTGGAACAGGACAAATGGGGAAGGCAGAATTCTTTTCAAGACTTACTAAAGAAGAGACAGAGAAAGAGGGAAGAGCTCTCCACCAGGGATCAGGTACAGACATGCGTTAAAACAACTGATTTTGCCTTTCGATCCATCAGACAGTATCCAAATTTGAATCTGATTACCCTGTAAGGTATTTACCATCCTGATTTTACAGAGGTGATTCTTTTACTTTTTCTTCAATTAAAATTGTTCTTTTAAGAACCTGATTGCTTTTTCATTGTTCTTAAGATCCAAGGGTTTGGGTCTGTATTCACCTATGCAAATTGGTGAGGATTTTTATCAAGCCTTCCCCAGGAAAGGGGGTGTAGGGTTTGGGAGGATTTTGGGGGGAAAGACGTTTCCAAGCGGGCTCTTTCCCTTTTATATATTTATTAGACGCTTGGTGGTGGCAGCTATAAAGTCCAGGGGCAAAAGATAAAATAGTTTGTACCTTGGGGAAGTTTTAACCTAAGCGGGTAAAATAAGCTTAGGGGGGTTTTCATGCAGGTCCCCACATCTGTACCCTAGAGTTCAGAGGGGGGAAGGAACCATTCATCTTGGTGAGGAAATACAAAGGAAAATGGACTCTCTCTCTCCCATGGCAAAGTCATCTCATTTGACAGCGTTCCAGGCTCTGATTCTACAATGGATAGCATGAGGGCTGTCTGCAGAGCCCCCCTGAAGTCAGGAGTATTCTGGGTAAGTCTACACTTAAAATGCTACAGCAGCACAGCCGTGTCACTGTAGCACTTCAGTGTAGACACTACTTATGCTGACAGGAGCAGTTCTCCCATTGGTGTAGGTAATCCACCTCTCCAAGAGGCAATAACTACGTTGACTGAAGAATTCCCGCAAGGTGGGAGGGACCAGAACCCAGTCTCCAGCCCAACATGTACACTGCAATTTTATAGCCCCACAGTCCAACCACCATGAGCCCATCATCTGACCAGGGCCAGCCACAGGTGTCTTGTTGCAGTGCAGACATACCCTCTGGGGCAGGCAAACAATGAACCTCTTCTCTTGTTGAAGAGAACTCTAAATGTTTGTGAAAATGCTTAAGAGTCTGCTATGTGCTCCCATAAGAAGTTTCTGCTCACTGTTTGGAAGGAAAGAACCAGTACCTTCGGAATGGTGAATGCATGTGTGCTGGTTGTCACTCAGGAAGAACCCTGCCTTACAACGACACTCATAGCTCCCCACGGTATTGACACAAAGGTGCTGGCAACCACCGTTGTTGAACATGCATTCATCCGTATCTGAAAAATAAAGAGACTGGATTTGTATCTGCACAGCTGCATTTACTGTCACTGCTATAAATCCTTGCCCGGAGGTTGATCTCAAAGTGTGCAACTAGTATAGATTAAAAATAGATGTTTGACCAAAGCCTCAGTGGGTCTATAGATCAGGGCATTTAAAGAAGATTTTCATTCTGAGACAGAGATAGAGGAAGAGAAAATTATTAAAAACCTCAGACTCAGGTTCAAGCGACAGACAGGTAACCCAATTTGGATACAATTTGCATCATCACACGGAACCTTCACCCAAACTACAAGCCAAATGCTAGGTCTTTTCTGAAGTTTAAGAATGTCTGATTAATTATCCTCCACCTCCTCATTTCACCTCATTGTCTCTTATTTTGTGGCTGCTTCTGTATTTCCGGGTTGTGGCCAGGGACAGAAGCAAAAGTTACCGAAATAGTTTAAGGAATGCTGATCTTGTAACATTTATGGCCTCACCAGAGGCAGGAAGTATGGGGAACCTCAGGAGAAAGTCTGTTCTTGCAGATATATATCTAATTTGGCAGAACCAAGAGATACAAAGAGTAGAAAAGCTCCAGCTAAGTCCCTGAACACTGAAGTGTTCATCTGAACCTCCAAGCCTTTTGAATTTTACTCATCACTGATTTAAGCTTTCTGTAGCCTCTTGCTATAGTATAAACCTTACAGGTCTGATTTTCAGAAGGACTGGGCACCAACAGCTCTCATTGATTTCAGTGGGAGTTATGGATGCTCGACACCCAGGAAAACAGGCCATAAAAGTGTCATGGCAAAATTCTGCTCTCATTTGCTCCTATGTAACCGCATTTGGTGCATCATGTTCTCCCCACTCTGCTCACTGCTACAGTACTAGGGCTAAGATTTTTTAAATGAGTATTTAACATTTTTTCATAAAATAGTTCCTAAAAACAGGAAGAAGCCATTGTGTTCTTACCAACAAGTGAAATCAAACACTGCGATAGATTTAAGTTCCCTTGAAACCACTGGGCCAACCTGAGTACCTAAACCAAGATGGATTTAGCACCGCAACATGATCATAGAAAAGAATGAAGATAAAAATTATGTTCCAAGAGGTCTAGATGTCTCAGTCTTAATAGAAACAGTTAATTTTAGTAGTTCGACAGTGATCTGAATCTAAGGAATCAGTATTGAAACAACCACCAAGACTCTCCAGTACTGTGGATTTGAAACTCCAGAAAATGTTTCTGCTTTGTGGATCATGACAAAATAATGGAATATTGTCTTCTCTCTCCAAAAAGTAATTGTCTGTTCAGCTAAAATCCAGCCACACATATCATGTCTTCAGGAATACAGATGCGGCTTAGTTAACAAAAAAGTGGCATGAACTAAGTAAGTAAACAGTTTAACTGAAAATGAAGCCAAATTTGCTGCATGTCAAAATATCTATTTTAATTTTAAATCAGATCTTCAAAGGAACACTCAAAATTAGGAGGTCTGTGATTTGAACTTCATTGTTTTAAAGTCCATATTATCCTTTATATGCTCCCCGCCCTCTGAACCATTGCATCAATAATGTTGTTCTTTTCAAAACAACCAGCCAAGCAATAATGAGAAACCCTATATTAACACAACAGTGGGCCAGTTTCTGTCCTCAGTTATAGCTGTGTACATTCAAGGTATCTCCAGTGAAATTACTAAGATCAGAATATGATCAGATGTATTCATGTGCTAGAGGAGTTCTTTGTATGGAGAGAGAATATGCCCCTTTATTGCCTTATTAAAGAGGTCAGGTGCTCACACAGTTGAGTATCCTTAATGTGAACCTCATGGAACTCTACTTGAGTGTTTAAATAAGTGTGAGAGAGGATAAGACACTCTTCCTAATATTAAAAAGCATCAATAAATCGTTCAGTTGCTTCTGCCCAGACTATATGGCTACCCAGCTTTGGCATATGCAAGGGTTTGGTAGTGCAGCCCTTGAGACTTAGTGCCTTCCCCATCCTCTCCCATTTACACACCAACAGACATGACTTTGTCTACGGGCCAGACCCTTAGCTGATGTAAACTGATGTAGTTCCAATGAAGACAAAGCAGCTATGCCAAATTACACCAGGTGAGGATCTTGCCCTAAATATTTAATAGAGGCCTAGTCCCATTACTAAAACACTGTGTGGTAATCTGAAATATCTCATACCCTTGCAAGGCTCACAACAGTCTTCAAATTCTGCAATGGGGGCAAGTCCCTTCCCCAACAGGAGTGGAAATCTCCTGAGGTAACTTACCCAGTGATGGCCCCACTGCTCAGGCAGTGATGAGCAGTATTTGTAGGGGGTGCACAGAGGTCCACACATTTGTGTGAAGGGAGACCCACTACACGGTTCCACCAATCATGGCCCACCACGTAGCAGCAAGCAGGAGCCACAGTTACCGCCAAACCCACAGAGCAGAAGGGTGATGCAATGGTTGGGATTCAGGAAAAATTGGGTTTAATTCCCTGCTTCACCACAGACTTCCCAGATAACCTTGAGCAAGTCACTTACCTTTCCTGTACTTTGGTTCCCCAATGGTAAGATGGAGCCAATCGGACTCCCCTACCTCATATGGGTATTGTGAGGACAAATACATTAGAGATTGTGAGGTGCTCAGATAGTACAGAAATGGGGCCCATATAAGATACATAAATGGGAGGGTGAGGCATAGCTCCTCCATTACCTGGAGAAAGGATTCCTTTCTCCCAACCCCAACACATGGCTGGGCATGGACCCTAAATTAACACTTCCAAAAAATAGAAAATGTTCTTAGTATTAAACAGATCAATTTATTAAAGTTTCCCTAAAGAAACATGTTAAAAGAATAATGAAGGATACTTTTCAATTTTTAATCCAAAGAACTCAAAGCGGTTACGAAAAGTGTGTCAGTATTATCCCCCATTTTACAGATGGGGAAACTGAGCAACAGAGCAGTCACACAGAGACTGAAATGTCAAATCCTGGAATTCCTGTGTCTAATATGTATCATTCTTGTTAAGACATCTTATCTAACACAGCATCCAGGAATCACAGGCTTTTTACTTTCACAAAATTAAAAAGGGATATATTAGCATCAATATTTGCAATGTTAGCAAGCATGTTCCTTACCGAGACAATTATGGCCATCGTGAGCCAACATGAAGCCATCATAACAAGTGCAGCGATAATTGCCTGGAATGTTGAAACATTCATGTACACAGCCTCCATTGAAGTCATTATCACATTCATCAATGTCTGAGGGATAAAGCAAAAGTCAATCTGATTAATGCTTCTTGGTTTGGCATAGACAGGTCCTGACATGATTGTATAAATATGAACAGTAATTGCTCTCTTAAATCATCATTGTTTTGCAAATGAACTATACTTAACACATTATTTGTTCAATGTTTCTGAAAAATGACAAGATGCATTAGGATTCCCAACCAGTGTTACAGTATAGTTTTAAGCTTTCTAAAGCTGCTTATTAAAAAAGATGTTAGATTAAAAATCATGGATCTGATTCTCCTCTGTTTTATGCTGATGTAAATCAGGATTAAATCCATTGAAGTCACACTGACATAGAATCAATTTGAGGGAGAATCAAACTGCATATTTTTAAAAAATGATAAATTTCCTTACCTGCATTCATCACAATACTCTCATTATTAAAATGGAAAGAATTTTAACTATCTAATTTACCATTTCAAGTTGTCTGTTCACTTTGCATTTGACTCGGTTTTGATTATTAAAATGCATGAGTCAATTTAGCTTCTGATTCTCAAGCACTAGCATAAAGCTGCAATGCTTAGGTTGCAAATACTGCAAGGGAATGTTTAAACCAAATAAACAGCTTTAATTTAAAAAACATTTTCATACGATTCTATCTGACATATTTTCTAAAAACTGTTAACACCCAATCTAAACATTGGCCCTAAATCACCTTTTTTTTTTTTGATACTTCAAATGAAATGATAAATGACCAACACTTTGTTTGTTTTCTAAATAAAGAAACTGAATATGTAGGACTTCATCTTGCTCATGTTTGTACTAGAAAACAATCTCTAGCATAATACTCCTTAAGCAAAATAAACTAATCACACACTAGAAGCTTTGATTTAAAAGACACAAACAAACCAACGAATGATCTTTTCCCCATTTCAATCAACAGCAAAACTCCTAACACCATTGGTGCATCTGGGACTCAGCTCATACGATGAAATTTGCCTGTGCACATCTTCAAAATCCCACTGACACTCTGAGGTGGTACTTCTTCTGCTGCCCATCTGTTTGCACAGGGCAGAATTTCACCTGCATGGTTAGGGCACTGAGGGAAAGAGATAGGGACAATACCCAAAGCCTTTTACAGTCAGACAAAAGTTTCAAATACAGCTTTTAGACTAAAGATGGGTCAAAGCCACAACATCCAGATACAGATTTTGAATCCCTTAATGTTCAGTATGTTTAATCCTAGGGTTCTGGTTTGACCCAAAATAGAGAGAAAGAGTTGGTGCTAAATTCAGATCCAGGCTTCAATTCCTAAATCCTCTGCCATCATGAAAGTTTGGGGGGGTGGATCCAGGTTTTTGGTTTGGACCAATCTCTGCTTTTCCCAGACATCCTATGATGCTTGTTACACTATTAATAATACTATGAGAGCTTACACTGTTATTTTCACCTAAGGATTTCTAAGGGTGAGATTTTCAAAAACAATATAGTGACTTTGGACCACAACACTCATGCGCCTAAATGATTTAGGTCTGGTCTTTATACAGTTTTTTTTTACCAGTGCACCTATTACAGTGAGGGCTGGGATTTGGGTGTTTTTTTTTTTGTGTGTGTGTTAGTCTGTTTTGGTTTTTTACCATAACAGTTATACCTGTACAACCCCTGTAAGGCAATAGCCATAACAGTATAAAGCACCTTTATGCTGATATAATTGTATTTACACTGAGGGGTTGGACCACTATAACTATACCGGCCCAAGGTCATACAGTAAGTTAGTGGCAAATCCAAGAACAGAACCCAGGTCTCCTGAGCTCTAGCCACTAGAGCTTCATCTATGGTAGCAGTTACCCCAAAACATTAAGGTGAAATTTTTCAAACATGGGTCCCTAACAAAGGCTCCCTAAATTCACATTTACATACCTAAATCTACCGTAGCCAGGTTTTCCAAGGCACTCACCATCTACAGTGCTCACTGAAGCCTTTGGGAATCAGGACACTTATTAGTACATGCTCAAATATAGATATAGGTGACTAATTGTAGGTGAAAAATTTGGCCTTAGCTATAGCAAGTGCACTCTGCCACCCTTGTGTCATCTGAGGGGCCCAGGTTGGCTTTTCTCATTTTAGGGTCCAAAAGCCCAATCCTAAAACACATTCTGTACTTTCTGAGAGGCACTAAGAACTTCAACAGGAATTAAGACTTAGCCCCCAATGTTTCACTGCCTAACTATGTTTTAAAGAAGCTGCTCATTATAAAAATACCTTAATAACTCAGTAGGTACATGTGCCCCCTTGGGATGAATTTGTCATGGACACAGGGTGGGTGGGTGTGTTCTTCTCCCCCCTCCTTCCCAAAACCAAAAACTGCCATGTAAAATCCTGGCTCCACAGATGTTAATGGGAGTTTTGCAGTTGCCTTCAAGGAAGACAGGATTTCACCCACTGCGAAGCCCAAAACAGTGAGAAAAAGTTAATATTTTTTGCACCATTTTTAATTAAAATTTTAAGCAAAACCATCAGTTTGGTCAGAGATTTTTTTTGTTTATCAAAATCCAGGTTTCTTGGTACATGCAAAATTTCACTAACCATTCTGATAACATTTTGAGAAATATTTTAATTAAAAAGTGATTAAATTTTTCAAAAACAGAAAACAAAAAATGGGTGAAAACGTGTGAAACAGAAAATGACGTTGAAATTTTTCTTGTAATTTTTTTAGATTTTGTGATCCATCCTAGTTATCATTGCTATGCTGCCAATATATTGCTGGCTGATAATAGGATCGATAATAACAGAGAAACTATTATAATGACATTCTCTAAATTAATGGCATACTGGAATACTATGGTCAGTTCTGGACATGCCATCTGAAAAAGGCTATAAAAGAAATAGAGTGAGTTCCTAGCCAGATGACAAGAATGAGTAGGGATATAGAAAAACCCACACATAAAGAGAAATTGAAAAGTTGGGTTGTGTTTGCCTTAAAGAGGAGATGAATACAAGGTGACATGATAAAAGGTATATAAAATAACAATTGGGATAGAAAAGATAGTCTGGGAACTTCTATTCACCCTGTCTCTGAACAAAAGACCAAGGGGATACTCAATGAAATTCAAAATGAATACAAAGAAATATATTTTCATATAACATGCAATTGGCCTGTGGAACTCCTTCCACAATACATAAGTAAGACCAAGCAGGATTCAAAAAATAACTCTGTCTATTGCAAGGTTTCTTTCCCCTTCCCCTGGAGCAGTTGGTGGGACGACTGTCAGAAGTAGGATACTGGATTAGATGGACCACTGGTTTCATCCAATCTGGCAGTTCTTATGTTTCTAAGGCCCTCATACACATGACTGTAATGTAAGTGACTCCCTGCTTTGAAGCTAGGCTTCTTATTACTGTTTCCCTTTTTAGAAATATGATAAATAGAACAGAAGAAGCAAAGAAATACAGCAGGTGCTAAAGTTTCTGCTTTTTATGGACCCAATCCAGCTACCATAGAAGAAAATGGAAAGAGTCATACTGACATAAGCAGAGCTGGATCAGGCCCCTACTGTGCCTAGACTTGGCCAAAACCGTTTTCTCACTAGAACTTTAATAACTCTGTGATATTGTTCAGACAAGCATGATTTTGCCCCAGTTTCAAACTTACACATGCATTGCTGAAACCAGCTTCAACTCAGCCTGAGGCACAAACCTTTAGCCCTAACTGCAAGAAACTAATACTTCTTTTAAATGAATCAATGCTATATTTGTTCCCATGTATTGTCAATGGCCAGCCTGCCTTTATGGTAAACACCTTGAAACTTACAGGGTGGAACTTATACATCTAGGAACAAAGAATGCAGACCATGCTTACACAATGGGAGACTCTATCTTGGGAAGCAGTAACTCCAAAAAAGGATTTTAGGGGTCATGGTGGCTAATCAGCTGAACACAAACTCCCAGTGTGACGCCATGGTCAAAAGGGTTAATTCAATCCTTGGATGTATGACCAGGAAAATCTCTAGTAGGAATAGGGTTGCCAACTTTCTACTCGCACAAAACTGAACACCCCTGCCGCACCCCCTGCCCCGCCCCTCCTCCGAGGCCCCTCCCATGCCCTGCCCGTTCACTGAGGCCCACCCCCACTCACTCCATTTCCCCCCACCCCCCGTCGCTTGCTCACCCCACCATCACTCACTCGCTCATGAAGTTGGGGTGTGGGAAGGAGGGAGGGCTCCAGCTGGGGGTGTGCCTGCAGGCTCTGGGGTGGGGCCAGGGATGACGGGTTTGGAGTATGAGAGGGGGCTCCGGGCTGAGGCAGAGGGTTGGGGTGTGGGAGGAGGTACTGGCTCTGGGCTGAGGGCGCGGGTTCTGGAGTGGGGCCAGAAATGAGGGGTTTGGGGTGTGGGAGGGGGATCCAGGCTGGGGCAGGGGGTTGGAGTGCAGAGGAGGTGAGGGCTCTGTCTGGGGGTGTGGGCTCTGATGTGGGGCCAGGGATGAGGGGTGCAGGAGGGGGCTCTGGGCTGGGTCTGAGGGATTCAGAATGTGGGAGGGGGCTCTGGACTGGGGTAGGGGGTTGGGGTGCAGGGGGGTGTGAGGGCTGGGGGTGCGGGCTCTGTGGTGGGGCCAGGGATGAGGGGTTTGGAGTATGGGAGGGGGCTCCGGGCTGGGATTGAGGGGTTCAGAGGGTGGGAGGCAGATCAAGGCTGGGGCAGGGGGCTGCGGCCCGGGAGGGGATCAGGGGTGTGAGCTCCAGGGAGAGCTTACCTCAAGCAGCTCCCAGAAGCAGCCAGCATATCCCCCCTCTGGCTCCTACACAGAGACATGGCCAGGTGGCTCTGTGCACTGCCCCATCCACAGGTGCTGACCGGCAGCTTCCATTGGCCATGATTCCCAGCCAATGGGGGCTGCGGAGGCGGTGCCTGGGGCGGAGACAGCATGCGAAACCCCCTGGCTGCCCCTACACGTGGGAGCTAGAGGGGGAACATGCCGGCTGCTTCCCAGGAGCCGCGCGGCGCGGAGGCTAGCAGGGAGCCTGCCAGCCCCGTGGCGAGACAGCCCCAATCGGACAGTCAACAGCCTGGTCAGCTGTGCTGACTGGAGCCACCAGGATCCCTTTTCAACCGGGTGTTCCAGTTTAAAACCGAACACCTGGTCACCCTAAGTAGGAAGGTTATCTTACCTCTGTGTTTGGAACTGCTACTGGAATACTGTGTCCAGTTCTTGTGTCCACAAGTCCAGAAGGATGTTAATAAATTAGAAAAGGTTCAGAAAAGAGCCACAAGAAGGACTGAAGGATTGGAAAATATGCCATATGAGTCTATAGTGATAGACTCAAGGAGCTCAGTCTATTCAGTTTAATGAAGAAAAGGTTAAGGGGTGACTTGGTCACAGTACATAGGTATCTATGTGCAGAACAGCAATTTTGAAATTGAGGGCTCTTCACACTAGCAGACAAAGGTACAACAAGATTCATCGGCTAGAAGTTGAAGCTAGACAAATTCACAGTAGAAATAAGGCACGATCTCGCCTCTTCCAAGCCAGGGCTTTTCAAAAGGATACTGCCCATAACTCTATAGCTAAAGTAAATCTAAGGAGCTAGACAGAAGTAGTGGCTGCATTTGTTGTCTTTTTAAGATGGTGGTTTTTTAAAATCTCACACAAATATATAATTAAGTTTGGAATATATCAGATTCCTGGGCAACATATATGACATGAGGAGTCAACAGCTTGTCACAAATGTTCCCATGAATCCCTTTTGCAGTCCTATGAGTTAACCAGCAAATGGCAATAGGATTGTGTTTGGCACACACACACTACGGCCGAAGCAGTGTGTATTACTGCAGTCAATTTACCTTCACACGTTTTCCCTTCACCGCTGTAACCCAGTTTGCATGTGCACTTGTACAGCTTTGGAATGTTTTGACAAATAGCATCTGGATGACAGTCATCAGTCCCTTGGGCACACTCATCCACATCTGTTTAAAAAAAACAAACAAACAGATTCATGAGAGATGTCAGAAGGTGCAACATGAGAATGTTTGGTTGGTTGCTGAATGGTCACGTGCATGTATGTGCACACGCACATGCATGTGCAAGAAAGAGACCCACACGAGACATGCTTGCATGATGGTTGTATGTGTGGATGTGTGTGTATTAGCACAAGCTTGCGTGATTGTGTATATGCATACATTTGCACCAGTATCTGCATTTAAACATTATGGGCAAGATCTTCAGGTGCTGTAAATCGGTGTAACTCCATGGAGTTATACTGTACTGTATTAACAGCAGCAGAAAATACGACCCTGTGTCTCTGTATGGAGCTAAGAATCAGACACACATACAGACAGCATTAATCTATAGACCCCCAAACCACTAGTTATTGAAAAAAATCACATTTCAAGCCTGTGACCTCACTCTTAGGAAGCATGACATTCTTTAAACTAACAAAAAGGTCTCACAAAAAATGAACACTCACTCAGTCAAGAGTTTCAAAATCACAACCCCAGACATGCCAAACTTTTACTTACCATTAAACAGATGGTTATTCAAGTGTTTTTATTGCTCCCAAATTAGCTTTTTTAAATAAAAAGTGAAAGTCACATCTGGTGAGCAATGTTGCTGAAACACACAGCACGCAGTCACCTTTCAAGAAGCACGAAGTGTACACAGCTAAAACATCCAGCTGGAAACTTCAGTGCAGGGGGAGCGAGGAATAAGAAAGATCAGCAAAAGAGGAATTCCTGGATATGAAGGAGGAGTTGTAGATGGCCATCAAAGAAGAGTGACAGGGAGGGGAAGACATCATCAGAACACGAGTTTCTAGGGCAGCAGAAAAAGATGCAAATCAGCACAAACAGAATGAGTTCCCATGAATGGTCAAGGGGAAGGAGATCAGTGGAAAAGGCAGTTCTGTAGGAAAGGAAGTCATAGACGGGAAGGATCTGAGACTGCAGACAAATCAGCAGAAGCGGAGGTCCTCCTTGAGTCTTAATACAGTATTTGGTGGCTATATCGTAAGTACCCAAGCTTTCCCCCTTCTTCTCCTTCCTCCCCAATGTGGATCACATTGTAACAGAGAGATTATGAATGGAAGAGAAGGTGTCCCAGGAGTCAATCGCACTGATCTCCTTCTCCTTCCACATATCACCTCACATCCCGTAATAACTAGAGCAATTGCTTATGAGGAAGAATATTAATATGGTTTTAGCTTCTTTTAAAGCAGTTTAGCAGCAGGGAACAAGACAACAGGCCAGCATCATACGACCAACCGGCTCAACACGCCATGATCAAATACGCTGCTGAACCTCAATGACCCATTGAACAGAGATTGCAAATCTTTGGTCTAGATAATAGTGATGGATGCCCTACAAATACCTCTGATCAAGATCATCAGGAAATGAGGGGAAGACCAATGCTGGGGTGGCGAGATTAGCAGAAGGTGGGATCTTGGGACAGGATAAGGAAAAACCATTATAAGGGAAGCTTTCAAGTCTTGGGAGTGGTCAGCAAAGAAGGTTCTGGAGGTGAGAGGAATTACCAGAAGACCTTCAATTAGATATGGATGTACAGCACTGAGACAGAAAAATGGTATGGGATGGAGGAGATCAGTTGTCAACAAACCTTAAATGTGTATAAATTAAGTTCATGCATTATTTCAAAGTAACTACTCCCACTCTCTTTGTCCATGTATCTGTCTACACACTGGGATGTTTGTAGATGTACCTGTCTATGGAGAGCACTGTCACATGGAGGACACATTCAAGAGTGTTTTTCTCTTAAAACTAAAATGCATAAATGTCAAACAGATACTGTGCCTTGTCCATAGTGGTTGGTTCAGGTTTTTAGGGTTTTTTAACATTATTATTATTAATTCCTTTGATCTCCAGAATGCACATGAAGAATGGGAGTGAAAAAGCAGCATTAGTGTATATTGCAGAATGAAAGTTGATTTAAAGTTACTGTACACATTGGTGAGATTTCTGCTCCTACTGAATGTAGTCTGAGCTGGAAAGAGAGGCTCTGGGGAAGAAAACTAAGAGCAAACGCTGCAGTCTTAAACTTGGCAGTGAAACTGCTGCGGAGGAGGAAGATGCATGAAGAATTATTAGGTTTATTCCACATTTAATAGAACATTGTTTAGACTGTGATACATCAACCTTGTACTTCTAGATTTTTTCAAAAACACTAAACATCTGTTTTATTTCTTTGATATTAATTTTGCTATTTGAAGGATTCCTAGTGGGGAAACAAAACTTTAAAATAATCACCACCATCATAATAAAAGTTCAGTCACAGAAATATTTACCACTGTCCATCTTATAAACCAACTAAAGCAACCTAACAGTCCACAAAGTTTGCACATTTTAATTCAGATAAATTATTTTTCATTTAATAATCTCATATGTTTGAAAAGTGCCAGCCACCTCTGTGGTGCTATGTAAATACTGTATTCATCTAGGATTTGTCCAGCACCCTGTTCAGAAATGAGAGATTTTTTTAAAATAAAATAAAACTATGTTTTTCCCAATTGAAACCACTACAGATAAAAATAATAACTGTGAAGTTCAGTCCCATTTCTGAACAATCCCCATCTTCCAAGGATGCTTTAGAGCTGGAGGTCGATTCAAGCCCATTTCTAAAAATAATAGCAGCAAAGGACTGAAAGAGCAAGTGTAACTCAAGGTGGGTGAGGAGATAATATCTTTTATTGAACCAACACCCCCACCCCAGCACACCTTTCAGGATCTATGGATCCTACACCCGGCCATCACAATTTGGTATACCTAATCCAGTGCACTAAATGCCCAGGGACAATAACAGAAGTTGGTCCAACGAAAGGGAGTATTTCACCCACCTTGTCTCTCCAGCATCCAGGGACTCACGGGACTACAACCGCACTGCATCCAAGTGTCACTTTCGACATGTGAGCAGTCACTGGGACTACTCCACACAGGCTTAAAGTAGTGGATCAAAGCCAATATTAAGAAACAAACCCCTCCAGCAGTGCCCTGATCTTCGCAGGTGCTGAGCACTGGCAGCGAGGGGCCTGAGCCTTAACTTCCCTCCCCCCTGTTAAGTCCCGCTCATTCCACCCCCTCCCCCCCATGTCCCACCGGGGAGTAAAGTTAAGCAGGCGCGCAAGTGTTTGCGGACTCAGGCCGGGCCAGCAGCCGGTTTCGGGGGGCGAGGCAAAGAGCGAACGGCGCTGTCCAGGTCTGGAGGCAGCAGGACCCGTCTGCTGTCAGCATCAGACGCCCCGGGCGGCGCAGGGCAGCCGGGCTGCGTTAGCGGGGCCCGGCCACGCACGGAACGAACCCGGACACTGGGCTGGGTCACTCACCGGGCAGGAGCAGCCCGGCGGCGCGGACCTGTCCCCGCAGCAGCAGCAGCAGCAGCAGCGGGGGCAGCAGCGCCGCCCCGGCGGAGCAGCGGCGGCCGGACCCCATCGATCGCGCGGCCGCCGGGGCCTGGCGCGTCCCGCACGAGGAGGAGGAGGAGCGGGGGGGAGGTGGCGGCGGGCGCCCAGCCTGCCTGGCACTGACACTGACGCCCGCCTCGCGCCCCGCTCCTGCTGCCGCGCGCCGTGGGGAGGGGGCGCAGAGGGGCTGGCCGCGGGGTCTCCCCCTCATTCCTCTCATGGGCCACTCCGCAGCCAGTCACCCTGAGAGAGGAGCCTGCACTGCCTCCCTCCCAGCGCTCTGCCTACGGGGGTGTGTGTGTGTGTGTGTGTGTCTCTCACACACACACACCCTGTGGGCACACATAGACACAACTGTCCCCCACCTGCAGATACCCCACCCACCCACACACAAATACCCCCACCCCAGCAACACCTGCAAGCAGCCACAGGCAAGGCCAAATATTCTCTCACAGCAACACACACCCTACAGCTATAGATAAAAGTCCCCCCCCCCGCCCGCCCCAACCACACACAAATACTCTGCCTCAGAAACACCTCTGCGCCTCTACAAATATTCCCACATACACATACAAGCACCACCACCCCTAGAAACACCCGCCCATGCACAGTCAGCCACCACACGTCAGCATCCTACACAGGCCCGACACTTATACCCACACCCACACCACCTGTATTCAAACATCCGCACAATACCCCATATGCAGACAGGCATTCCTTGCAGACATACACAGCCACCTCTCACACCCATATAGGGCTTGACAAGGGGTGTCCAAGCAATAGGTGCAGCTAAACTGGTGCTGAAAATGTTTCAACTGCACATGTAGACAGAGAGAAACTGTGTGACCTTCATTTGCTGTAAGGCCCAAAAGGTGATTTCTAATGTAGTCAAACCCATGCAAACATCGCACACATGCAGTGCACACACACTCTGTATCCATTAATTTACATTCAACTTACATGTGTATACAGAAGCACTACACATGAACACACCCCCTGCATAGATACCCTCGCAACTATTTTGTTAATTGTTCTTATTTAAGTGCTGACTATGCTCAACCCTGTGCAAAATAGAGGCAGAGTCCCTGTCATGCACAGAGACTACCAAGGCCACCACCCATCCATAGCCCTTTTTCCTAAGCCAGATATTACTGTGACAGTTTTTCCCACAGCTCGTTTCCTCTGTAGGCAAAGTGGCCATGTTAGCTGGTAAAATAACTTTAAAAAAAAATTGTTCTTCCTTTGACCTTTTTGTGCCCAGTGAAGGCAGGTGGGCAGGCTGTATCCCCTTCTTCCCCCTCCTCTTCCCTTTTGTTTTGTTCTGGGAGAAATACCAGGCTGTTTCTAGTTGTAAGGGTGTTTTATACACATTTGTAAATCTTCACTTAGTGAAACTTTCCCTCGGTCTTTGTCTTTGTTTCCTTAATGGTAGCCATAAATTACTGCCTTCCTTTCTCCCTGGAGCATCAGGCTTCATTGCTTTTGAAATGATCAAAGTTATTTTCTTTTTAAATCCAGCTAGAAACAACCTATTGTATGTCGTGGACATTTTTAGCTGCAGTCAAACCCATCTATAAATGCATAAAGCTGCCCATTAAATACTTGAGGGATGCCTCCAGCTTATTTTACCAAATAGAAAGTAGTCGGAAATTAAATTAAAGGACATTGTGGCTGCTGGTTTCCATGATCTTGTGAGTAAACAATATTTATAATACAGCTTTATGTTTCCATAGCGTTGTCCATCCAAACATCTCAAAGAGCTTTACATCCATTAATTTAAAAGTCAGAGAACCGGCCTTTTCTATTGGAACACGTCACTATAGACCATCTAATTTTAAAAAGAAAATACTGCTTTGCACTTCTGCAGCATCTTCTTTCCAAGGTTTTCAAAGTGCTTTACGTACATTAATGAATTGAGTCTCACATCACTCCAGTGAGGTAGAGAGGTAGGTAGAAACTGACAGAATAAAGTCACAGGTAACATAGCTGTAAGCCATATATGTTAAGCTTAAGCAAGCCAAATTTTAAGGCATAATAAAGACAAAGGGTCTTGTCTTTATGAAACAAAATAAGATAGACCAATACTAAAACAACTTTGGTGGTATATAGCACTTTTTGTCCATAGATCTCACAGTGTTTTGCAAAGAAGAGTAAGTATAATGCAATAGAAATATATAATATTATTATGATAATCAAGAAGCAATGCCAGAGTGTTTCCCTTTACACGTCCTCTTTGACTCATCCTTATTTATGGACACAAATTGAATAGAATTTGAAGTAAGGAGCTCAACTCGGACTAGTTTATATAATCTCCTTTGACATAACTGATTCTATTCAAGTATGATACAGCATCATAGTGGGAGACTAAGACCCAGAGCCATAAAGAACATGCACTGGGCATGGTGAACTCCTATTGGAAGAAAGGTTAGGCAAAAGCTGATGAAGTTCAGAGCCTTATGAATGTGGACTATACGAGCGAGGAGTGAGAGGAAATTGAACTACTCCAAAAATGAGGCATAAAGTAATGTTATATTTTTAAAAGTTGCTCTGAAATCAAGAAGTTGTGAAGAGACTTTAACAAAAAAAAAAGTTCTACAAACCAGTGGTTGATACACCAGCATGACAGATCTATATGACCAGACTGCTTTCTTGAATTTTTTAATATTGATCCTAAAATCAATTGCTGATTTTTTTTGTTAGATATATATTAATAGTATATAGAGTATTTTAATCCTGAAGCTGAATGGTTAATTTTCTCAGTGTATACCTGTAAGCTACAGTCCCATGTGACTACCATGCTGATATGGATAGAAGTGCCTTGTGTCTGTAGGGTTCCTTTGTAATTAAGGTAAAGGGGATTCTTTCAGGAGGTTGATGTACACAGACAAGACCATGTAAATTCTCTCTGACTCCAGTTCCCAGACTACATACACTTTGTGCTGCCTAGTATCACCACTGTGGGTCTCCTTAAACTCCAGCGTGGGCTAAGCAATCATAAAAATGACAACACTAGAGCATGAAAAGGTAAACTTTACTCCTGGAACTCATCACGCAGTCTTCTAGGCTGAGCTGAACTGAGTTGTCTGGAAGCTTAGACTAGAAACTACTCTGCACGCTACGTTCCTTGTAGTCTTCTTTGTTTAATAACAGCCAAGTGTTTTAAGGAAATCTGGATAAATGTAAATTGCAGAGAAGTGAACAGTGAGAACTGAATCTGCTGTGGGAAAGAGATAGTGGGTCATTTTGTTAATTAGTACTTGGAGCTTAATTGGACTCTTAGCCCTGGTCTACACTAGGAGTTGAGGTCGAATTTAGCAGCATTAAATCTATTTAACCCTGCACCCGTCCACACGATGAAGCCCTTTTTTTCGACTTAAAGGGCTCTTAAAATCAATTTCCTTACTCCACCCCCGACAAGGGGATTAGTGCTGAAATCGGCCTTGCTGGGTCGAATTTGGGGTACTGTGGACACAATTAGACGGTATTGGCCTCCGAGAGCTATCCCAGAGTGTTCCATTGTGACCGCTCTGGACAGCACTCTCAACTCACATGCACTGGCCAGGTAGACAGGAAAAGGCCCGCGAACTTTTGAATTTCAATTTCCTGTTTGGCCAGCGTGGCAAGCTGCAGGTGACTATGCAGAGCTCATCAGCAGAGGTGACCATGATGGAGTCCCAGAATCGCAAAAGAGCTCCAGCATGGACCGAACAAGAGGTATGGGATCTGATCACTGTATGGGGAGAGGAATCCGTGCTATCAGAACTACATTCCAGTTTTCGAAATGCCAAAACATTTGTCAAAATCTCCCAGAGCATGAAGGACAGAGGC